GACCTCAGCAATCCACAGCAGCAGGTGTTCTCCTTTCTTTCAGGTGAATGTGAATGGGAGCTTCATTTTCATCTTTTCCCTCTTCACTTCTCTTTTTGGGGTTTCATCTTTCGAGGTGGATTTCATTGCATCTCCCATCAGTTCTTCATTGGTTCAGGCTTTGGTTCTTCTTCAGTCTTCTCCTGTTCTTCTCTAGTCATAGGTTGCTTTTGCTTAACCCTCATCGGTCAATGTTGCCAACTGGGCAGAAAGCAGGTCCTTGTCAGCAATAACTTTGTCTAACTTCGTCTCCAAGTGATGCAGGTAAGGCATTAGATTCTGAATGAGAGTTGCAACATCACTTCCTTCTTCTAGTTTTGCCTTACTTCTGAGTTCATTCATTTTCCTTCCTTCCTTCTTCTTCTCTGTTTTTCCTTTGCTGTTCCATGGATACCTTCTTTTTCTTCTCTGCCTGCAATGCTTCTTCTAGCCGTCTGATGTTCTGATCAACTACATCCTCATTTAGTTTTTGTCTGTTTCCCCCGCTTGTTTCTCCTTCTTTTCTTTTGTCCTCTTCTTCAATGTGGTGGGTATTTCGGGCTAGACTTTCGGCAACAAATTGGTCCAGACTGTGATGGGCCCTGGCTATGACCAGGTTCATTTCTCCGGCCACGCGGAGGAGATCAAGTCTTGTCTCAGCCCTGTCCAATTGCTCTTCGAAACTGCGCAGGTCGATCTAGCTCCGGACATGGTTTTCGGCTTCCGGACCAGCCTCATGGATTTCAGTCAGGACCTGCTGAAGTTTTAGCTTCTCCTGGTCCTTGCGGGCATTCACTTGCTCACGTGTACGCAGTTCCTCGTCTCTGTACATGGTCAGTGAGACCGGGTGGAAAAACAAGGGAATAAACTTTGTCAGACCAGACAGCCGCAAGCTGTTCCACATGGATGCCATCCTTGGAGTTACCGCACAATTAGACTATGCAAATATCTGTTCCACAGTCTTGTCAGAAATTCGGAACAACAACCAGAAAATAAATAAAATCCTGTACTAAAAATAGAATATCAATGTCGTAATCTGCTATAGCGTCTGGCTGGCGCCCACGAAACAGCCTGGCGCCAACGTCCTCCTCTCAAGTCTCACGTGCAGCATCGAAGCCGCAAGCAACTCGCAAGACTGAATGTCCAAGCAGTGGCGAGGTCAACTCTATGTAGTGTTGACTCGCGTTGTCCGGGCTCAGCTTCTGTCCATGCGAGGTCTCGGATGGTTCGAATGTCGACGACGCTGATACCAAATTGTAATAAGCCCAGTCTCGACAAACAATCATGTCGTCAGATAGCAATGTCGTGAGATAACAATGTCGTGCAATGTCGAGGGCGCAATCAGAGCCCAGCGGCTCAATTTTGGCACACGAGTTACAGCATTGAGGTAGATAATAGATATGCTTGCAAAGGTCTCCTCTATATAGCCTTAGGAGCTGGGCTACCAGACCCGCACTGGCCTGGCCGCCCAGCTGTGCAGCCGGGCCAGTGCGACTAGGACCCTCTTGCCCAGGTCATCCGGGCGAGTAAACAAAACACTCAAAACTCCCTCCCCCCCCCCTCTCCCCTGATGATGGGGCATTTTTGCGCCCTCCTTAAGGGACCCAAATCCTGTCTTATATGTTTTTTTTGGTTCATGTCAGGTTTGGAGGGCTTGAAAGGGGTTGAAAGGCCTTTAAAGGGTGTGAGATAATTTTCCTTACATTATGTTATTTTTATTTCACGCGCATTTTCATAAACTGTTCACCGAGAATGAGCTGAGTCAATTATCATATATGAATCATCCTTTGGGCTTGTCAACAAATGGAACAAAACTTACAAAAGTTCAAAACACTGTTGACTTGTAAAGTCAATTCTCCCATTCATTTACAGGCCTCGCTAAAGAAACTTCAAAGTTCATACCCACCCTCAGCCAAAAGTTGTTTGGTTTGCTATTGTGCACAACATATTTTTTTTTCAAAATTTTTTGATCTCTTTTTTATTTTATTTTGGGGTGGGATATGGCCGGGACCCTGCCTGGCCCAGTTGCACGGCCGGTCGTCCCGGGCAGGTCCCGTGCCAGATTTGGGGACCTGGGCGGCACTGCTGGTAGCTAAGCTTAGGAGTAGTGGTAGGTAAGTAGTGAAATGGAAAAAGAATTTGAGAGAAGAATCTGGTGTGGTTTGGGGGAAAAAAAAAAAAAAAAAAAAAAAAGCTCTTCAGCTAGGGATGAGATGGAATAATACACATGCGATCGAAGATCAGGCAGATGTGCGACACACTTGACACACAAAGCATGCAGGTGTGAAACACACGCGATCCAAGATTGTAGTCGAAAAGAAAGATGACATAACGGTATTATACTGTCTACATGTCAATTGCTCAGCAAACTGCCACATCTTGTCCCGATTCGGAGCAAAACTTTTCAGCGCCTTTTCAAAACTTTCATCCAGGAACCCTTCGGCCCGTAATTGCTTCCAGACTGTCAAAACCTGCTTCGGGATGGTGGTCCAGACAGTCGTGTTCCGGTCTATCCGGTGGAACCACCTGGTTATTGTGGCGAATTTATGCTTGCAGCTGGAACAAGGTAAAAAAAATCCTGGCTCGTCTGAAAGACGATGTCCCGGGTGGTCCACAGCGTGCTCTCGGTCTTTGCCTGTTGAATACACCCAGGGACTCTGATCTGCATTTTGGAGCCCAGAAAATACCAGGTACCCATTTTTTTTCGTCAGTCCGCTGCACAGTAAGTGTCCTGGGAGAGCATTTTTCAAATCTTTTCCTGATCCGATTTGCCTTGCCAATAGACCCCCGCTCGCCCTTCTTATACGCTAGGAACAGGGAAACATCATCCATGAGTCATACCTCGAGTACTGTTTGCAGTCCGCCCCCAAAGTGACCGCTAGGCTACCAGAGTGGCCCGGGACCACTTGCCCGGCCGGGCCAAAAAAAAAAAAAAAAAAAAAAAAANTGATAGTCTCTTTCCAGGTCTTCCTCTTGTCCCTCTCCATGTCCTTCGTTCTGCTGGTCCAACCTGTCTCCTGTCCAACTCACCTTCGCGACCCAGCCCTCCCTCTCCCCCAGCCAGCTTTCACAGAACCGGGAGTCGGCGGGAGATAATGTTTTTAATGTCACCCCTGCTGTGCATCTGACTCAGATTTTCCTTAACTCTCTGCCATTGTGCCGCGATCTCATGCTGGAAGAGTAGCCGTATCTGTTCTGTGACTTCCCCCTCTTCCACCCTGGCCCCCTCTAATTCCAGGATGCATCTTCGCCACCGTATGGCCCATAGGATAGTACGCCTGCCCAGAGAGTACATATTTGCTACAAAGGCGTTGTCGCGAAAAAAGGGGGTAGTGTCCTAGCAGGATTGCCCTCCAGTCCCAAGGCCATAATGAGCCTGGAACGATGTGCCGCCAGATCCTATCCCACCATCTCCACAACAAGACCGCTGCAGGGCATTGTAGGAAAATGTGCTCAATCGTCTCAGGGCGCTTTTTTCCGGGGAAGTTTTGGCGGCAACCCCGGCACCAGGGAAGCGCCCTTCCTTGCTGTTCGAGCTGTGTATGATCTGTCTCTTATACACATCTAGATGTGTATAAGAGACAGATGTGACCCTGAGGCAAAAGTTGTTCAGTTTATTTTTCTGAATAACATAATTGTTTTTTCGGATGTTTTGGATTTTGTTTTTCTTGCTGGGACCTTCTTTGGTCCTTGCGCGGCTGGGCCTCCTGGGCAAACAAGGTGTGACCCGGGCGCCCCAGCTGGTAGCCTAGCTGTTCAGTTTATTTTTCTGCAGAACATGTCTTTTTTTTCGTTTTTTTTTGGATTTTCTTGTTTTTACTGGGACCTTCCCTTGGCCCTGGCCCGGCCCGGTGGTGCGGGCAACCAAGGTGACCCAGCAGCCCGGTTGGTAATGCAGTGTGCTATGTGAATGTGAAGCTCAAAAGCTAGGCTACCAGAGTGGCCCGGGGTCACTTGCCCGGCCGGGCCAAAAAGATAAAGAAAATAAAAAAATAAAAAAATCATGTTTAAAATTTATTTTGTATTTTAAATTTGGTGAAGAATTTCGATGTAACCCTGAGGCAAAAGTTGTTCAGTTTATTTTTCTGCATAACATAGCTTTTTTTTTTTTTTGATTTTTTTTTTTCGGTTGGATCCTTGGTCCTTGCACGGGATGGCCACCCGGGACCCGGGCGGCCCGGCCGGTAGCCTAGCTCAAAAGCGAATTTCTTTTACTGTAAACAAGGCAGCTTCTGTTTCTGCGCCCTGTAAACCAGAGCCGGTAAGTTGGTAGATTGTTTTTTCTCCCCCCCGTACCCCCCCGCCCGCCAAAAACTATTGTATCCAACAAGATTTGAGCTCTTGATCTATTCTCCAACAGTTACTTGTGAGTACTGTTCAGCCACTGGGCAGGTACCATGGAACGGAGTGTGTTTTCCCAGGTCTTCCAGAATTCTGGTCTTTTCTTAAAATAAAGGAAAACAAGGGTGTAACCCGGGTAGGACGTTTTTGTATTCATCCGAATTGCACTCAGGGTTCAAACCATAGTTGCGGCGCACCAGTGCGCAGTGCAGTGTGCTTCAGTGCACTGTGCGGTGCGGTGCGGTGCGCAAATCCGCGCACCGAGGTGCGCCGCAACTATCGTTAGAACCCATGATCTGTTCACCGACAGTTATATGAGTGTGTGTCGTACTGTCTACGATTAATAGCCACATGGGCTGGGTAATGTAGGTCTTCTCTCGTCTAACCTTTCCCTCCACTTGTCTCTTCAATGTCAGTGAGCCTCCCGAACAAGGTCATGTGAACTCAAACAAGCCTCTTGGGTAGTTTGTGCTAGCGATAGCCCCTCACATGTCCTTTTCCGCATGCTCTCAATGGAGAGAGAGAGAGAGAGAGAGAGAGAGAGAGAGAGAGAGAGAGAGAGAGAGAGAGAGAGAGAGAGAGAGAACTGATAAGGAACTCCAACGAGCTAACGATGACTTGCATGGTGGGTGGACTTGCAGGGGCTTCGTGTTTACGGAGTTGATGGAATTGTGATCCATAGCCGTAAACTGCAAGAAGATGTGTGCACAGAGGTGAGTTGTCGGTGTCGCCTTTGATGAAGCTAGCTTGACTAAGTTTGACCAAGTTGTTGACTATGTGTGTTGTCTTTGACCTGGTCTGAGAATCTTTTTTTGCCCTGTACGCAGCACAAGTTCCAGTTTCTTTTCTTTTCTTTTGCGTTTAGAGACCCTCAATGAGGAGAGAAAGTAGGGCTCCCTACTGGAGCACACAGTTTGAACACTGCGAACTGATCTCTCTCTCTCTCTCTCTCTCTCTCTCTCTCTCTCTCTCTCTCTCTCTCTCTC